AGCTTTTCCTTGACGGGCAAATTTTTATTACTGATTCAATCTGCTTACTCGTGTGTGTGTGTGTGTTTGTGTGTATTTATATATATTTATATATTTATAACATATATATAATTTTTTTTTTCCAAATTACCCTTCCTTTCTTGTCTTCTTCTGGGACTCTGATGACATAAAGATTAGACCTTTCGGCGTTTTACCACAATACCCTAGGGAGAGGTGTTGTTCATTTTTTTCAATGCTTTTCTCTCTTGTTCAAATTGGATAGTTTCTGTTGATCTAGGTTCAAGTTCACCGATTCCACTTTCAGTCATCTTACTCTCATTTTGCTAGTGAGTCTATCAGGTGTTACAGGCTGAGAAAGAGAGGGTCGTGATCAACTCAGTATACCACTGGAGGCTGTGTGAGTAAACAGCACACTGTTCTCATAAAAGCAGGATGTTGGCAAACTGACAAGCTGCATCTGCTGCCCAGAAGGAATGCTGAGGGCAGTCACGCCCCAAGCTCAGTGTTTCTTGTGATTTAGGCACATCCGAAGCCTGTTAGCAATAATGTGAACCTGTGATCACTTAAGCAGCTGACCAATCATTACCTCCTCCTCCCTGCTCTTTCTACCCAATAAATACAAAGAGCTGTAGAAGCTCAGGGCTTCTGCCTTTGCTCACTAGAAACAGGGAGGCCTCTTCTTCTTCCCCTGGCCCTTTCCTTTAAAATAGTTACTTTTGTTTTAAGTTTTCATTTCTGCGTTCGTCCCCCTTCGTTCAGTCGCATAGTAACCGTGACAAACTGCAGCAATTAAGTATAATTCAAACTTTGGATATGTGTGTGTAAGTTCTAAATTTCCATTATTTTCATTTATACCTTTTATTTCCCTGCTAAGATGTTCTTTCCATTTGTTTTGAGGGTATTAGACCCTAGCTTGTAGATTCCATTATCATAGCTAATTTGGAAGTCATTGTTTCATAATTTCAATATTTGAATTATCTTGGGATTGGCATTCATCTTCAGACCATAGTTCCCATGGTCAGAGAGAAGGATTCACCTTCCCGAAAGTTTTAGGTATTTGTTATGCTCACCACACACTACTCCTCAGCTGACATGCATCTTCAAAACTGAAACACACCCGCAATCTGGGTAGAACAGAAAAACGAAATGAAACAAAAACCTAAGGATACTGTCTCTGTCCCATAAAGGTTCCTATTCCTGCTTTTCTGATGAAAAAAATAGAGACAGACAGATATTCTTTTGGAGGTATTTCTGTCCATGCTTATAGTTTTAGGATTTGACTGCACTTGAGACTGTATTATATAGAAGAAAACAAAACAAAACAAAATGAAAACAGAAAATGTACCACTTGAGTTTTTAGTATTTTCAATTCTAATTTTCTTACCCAATCTACCTGCTACAATTTACTGTTGAGAGTCCTCAGATTGCTTTCTACTGCATTCGATCTAGGCTTCTATTTGTATTTCTTGGGAGAGGAGGGATAATGTGCTTATTTTACCACCACTCCACTTCCATGCTTGAAAAGAAGACTGAAAGATTTAAATCTTATTCCATCTTTAATCTTATTCAGTCTTATTTAATCTTATAGTTCTGGATGCTGGGTAGTCCAAGATCAATCAGTCACATCTGGTGAGGACCTCTTGCAGTGGGAACACTGCAGAGACCCCAGGTGGCACAGGGCATCACATGGTGAGGGGACTCCCAAGACATGGCAAAACTGGCCTTTTATAACAGTCTCACTCTTGTGATGATTAACCCATTCCCCATTAGTAACCCATTAATTCATTAATCCATTCATTTGTGAATGGATTTATCTATGCTTATTCAATCTTATTTAAACCCAAAACTCTACTATTTATTTTTTTTAATTAGTTTGGCCCTTATATTTCCATTTTCAAAATTCTTTACTCTTTTCTGATTATTTGTTTGTCATAGCATTCATTTTCCCTTTATGTATGTAATTTAACTTTGTCTCTCTAATGATTTCAATTAGAGGGTTATAATTTGAGATTTTCAAATATGATATCCCTTGTTCTATTTGCTTTGACTCTTTTTTTGGAAAGCTTTCCTCAAATTTCTGGTGACTGCTTGGTTTTCTACTTCTTATTTACTAAAGTTTACTAAGTAGGAATTTTGTGTTAGTGGAAAAAAATGTCATTATGGGGTAATTAGAAAATGCGCTGACAGTTCATTGAGGGAACTCCACAGTGTAAATATGGGAGAATCTGTTAAATCTTTCAGTCTTCTTTTCAAGCATGGAAGTGGAGTAGTGGTAAAATATGTTGATCCTCTGAACACACCAACATTCAGTGTGAAGACATTCTAGACTGTCACAGTCCCCTGGAATTCCGCCATGCGTATATCCCCTCTGTTTTCAGACACTGGCCTTTATTCCTGCCTTATTTTAATGTTGTTTGTCCAGACTTTCTTTAGGTCAGTTTCTCCAGAGAGTAAAAATTTGATCCCCTGCCCAGGAGTGGGACATGGATAAAGAAGAGTTAACTACTTGGCCTTTTAAAGTAAGAGAGAGTTCAGGGACTCTCTCTGCTTTATATATTGTTTTCAAGCAATTCTTCTGTTTAATTCTTGCCAACTTGAGTACCTTGTGTCTCCAAGTCCTAGGCATAATATTCATAAATGAATTTGCCCACTTGTCAATAGTATTCTTGTCAGGAGGCACTTCAGGTTGGGCTCTCTTAACCTTGAGAAGTCAGTTATATCTCCCCATGCACCCACTTCTCCCAAATACAAGCTTTTATGCTGCAATATTATTTTCTGTATTTGTCTATGTGGATTTCTATGGTTTGAACATGTCCCCCAAAAGTTCATGTGCTGGAAACTTGATCCCCATTGCATCAGTGCTGAGAGGTGGGACCTTTGGAAGGCAGAGCCCTCATGAACAGATAAATCCATTCACAAATGAATGGATTAATGAATTAATGGGTTACTAATGGGGAATGGGTTAATCATCACAAGAGTGAGACTGTTATAAAAGGCCAGTTTTGCCATGTCTTGGGAGTCCCCTCACCATGTGATGCCCTGTGCCACCTGGGGTCTCTGCAGTGTTCCCACCGCAAGAGGTCCTCACCAGATGTGACTGATTGATCTTGGACTACCCAGCATCCAGAACTATAAGAAATACATTTCTTTTCCTCATAATTATCCTGTCTGTGATATTCTGTTGTAGCAACAGAAAAAAGACTAAGATGTGAACTTAAAGCTTCATTGTCATTCCTGTAATAGCATTTAGTGCACTCCTAGAAGAAAGAGGAGAGAAACAAGATTTTTAATTTTTAAAATAGAAGTTTAATGTATTGTTTTATTTAAATAAATTAAAGATCACTAAGAGCTGATTAAAGCCAAAAAAATGCCTTGATCCTTAGTATTAAAATTTACCTTTCCAAGTTAGATCATGCACTTAAGACAATATTAACAAAAAAATGCTGCCCCAGTTTTCTAAGTAGGTCTAAGAAGTACATGAGGAAAAGACAAGTCCTTACATCTGATGCATTATTTTGGGTGGCATGGCCCTGCAGGGGCCTGTTGTAATTGATAAAAAGAAATAAATTATGTCTACAGAGAAGATTACTGGAATTTGCATATCCTTTTTGTTTGAAGGATACGTCAGTACTCAGCCTGACCCATTGGACTTTATTTGACTAAGAGTCTTGGCAGGGCCCTGACACAAGTAATTTATAGTTTAAGAGTGGTAATTTATATCACATCCAATATCTTCTACCTTATTCCATAAGAAGAATGACCTGGGCATTACAGAATCTGGACCAGGACCCAGGGTGGAATAAAAAGGGAGAAAGACTGATGTGTAATACTCCAGTAGTCACATTATATAAGTGGATTAGGTGAGACTGAAATAGGGCATTATTAATGCATTTAGCTATTTTAGGAAACATATACCACCTCAAGTAATGCAAACAGTATGAGAGATCTTAATGGCAACTTCTGGTTGACTGTTCTGCTATTCTGTTAACATGTAAATAGAGTTATGTGACTTGTGGTGGTTTGCACAAACATTTTACTGTCAGTCACCAAAATGGTACTGTTTGAAAGCTGTTCTCCCAGATTGATGACAATGAAGGTCATGGGATTCAGCAAGGGAATTAGCAAGTACAGCAATGATTGTCTCAGGCTTTCAGAACATTTACCACTGAGATAAAACCTTGGTTTTTATTTTCAAGGATATCCTGCAGTAGGCAAAGGTAATGCGATTATTCTCAGAGGAAATACACAGTGATAGAACAATGGGAACACTTAAAAGGTGCCCTTAACCATTTTCACATAAAGGGAAGGCTGAAAAGCCTCTGTTCATTCATTTATGATGTCATTATAAAATGCCTTGGAAACCAAGGTTCATGAATGTAAATTGCTAGGGAAGCAATTGACATAATTAATGGAGGAGAAAATGTTCTTTTAAAAATGTTTTTACAATCAGAGCTTAGATATAGTGTTCTTTGAATTTGTGAATACTGGTACTCAAGTTTGGCTTGGAGGTATTTTTTTCTTTCTGGTGTATCCATTGGGCATAAAGGAGTATTAGATTCTGTACTCACCTTGTTATTTTAAAACAGTGCTATGTGTTTGACATCAGTGGTGCCTGAGCATTTATGAATTTTGGTCATCACTTTTCTATGCACATTATATTCCAGACTTTCCTTAATACTGTTAAAATAAATTTCCAAGCAAAATGACACAATTTAAGACATGTCAAACTTTCAAAAATTGTCAATTTACTTTATTTTGGTCGTGGCCAGGCCTTTCTAATTTCATAGTTTATGGTGATTACAACAAAAATAACCACAGAGAAATACATCAAATTCTGTATGTCAGTTCTATAGAGACTTGATGGGATTTTATAGCAATGACTATAAAAAATAATCAGTTATAATTTTATTTCTATCTTAAATAATATTGAAAAGCACAATCTTAAAAAGTAGTTTCCCATTGTGATTCAACATATAATTAAAACTAAATTGGCTTTGTAATATACTTGTCAATTTTTTTATTTTAAAACATTGTAATTGGAAAATGTAATGATAGTCCCTACCTTATAAGGTTGTTACATTTCAGTGAATTAGAGTTTATGCAAAACGCTTAAAATCGTGCCTGAAACATAGTAAACATTCAATAAATTATATTTATTACACAATTAACAATGGAATTTACAGTTTGCCTGACAATTACAATTAGAGTTGAGTACGGTTTTACGCTCCACCATGAATCTTTTTGACATTTGTTCAACTTTCCTATTAGATTGAGCTCTTAATCTTCATTTAAAACATCTAGGGTTATGTCTTTCATTTCAGTAAATACTTCCTAAACCTTCACAAATGTAGTGACTGATCTATATTCCAAATACCCTCTCTAACGATGATCTGGTAGCTAGGCCCCATAAATAAAAATTTAAAATTGCAGAAATTGACCAGCTAAACATGCCATAACTCTATCTTAATAGCAGATACTTTTTTTCAATAAAACGTATATAGTGAATAATATTTTAAAATGGAGTTTCTCCTTAACATTTAAAACATTTCTCCCCAGGTAAATGTTACACCAAAGGCAAATTTTGTTAATGTTCGATTCTTACACAGGAAAGTTTATAATAAATATCAACTGGCACAAAAACTGATTTAATGATTTATCTCCACAAAAATCCACACACAAAAATTGAATGATTTATACTTCTCAGACTTCAGAGTCCAAGGTTCTGTACAAGTAACCTGTTCAGAGTCCAGAGTTCTGTACAAGTAACCATGTAACCTCAGCTATATATAAAAAAAAATTTATTTGATGCTGCCAGTGGGAAGGAATATAGCTGGCACAATAACAGGGGCTAACAGACATTTGCAAAATTTGGAAACTCTTCTTTCAAGAAGTTATAGATCTAAGAGTCTCTTTGGAAAATGAGGTCCATCAGAATGGAGCAGGACACAGATAAAACTGAGACACATTGGGCCCATTCTCTAGAACAAGGATTTTGGCATGTTCAATGGGTTGTCAAGTAAAGTTCAAGTCCCTAGCAGAGAATAAGCTGTAAATCAGGAATGGAAGAAGAGCCCGTATTTATAAAGACTGAGAAAGCACAGAAAACACTATGCATACACATAAGAGACTCATGGCAGATACACAGGATTTTTTCTTAGGTCAATGAGCCTAACTCAGTGTTGCTAATTCAGCTGACATTATTTCTTTTTCTTTCTTTGCAACCTCTGCCTCCCAGCTTCAAGCGATTCCCCTGCCTTGGCCTCCCCAGTAGCTGGGATTACAGGTGCCCACCACCATGTCCAGCTAATTTTTTTTGTATTTTTAATAGAGACAGGGTTTCATCATGTTAGCCAGGCTGGTCTCGAACTCCTGATCTCAGACAATCCACCCGCCTTGGCCTCCCAAAGCTGGGATTATAGGCGTGAGTCACCGTGCCCAGCCTCAGCTGACATTATTTCTTCCACTAGCTTAGATGAGGTTGCACTCCTGGTACATGACCTGACTGAAGCTCACCCAATTCCCCAGCTAATCCAGGCCACACTGCAAGTTAAGGTCTCTAATTTTCCAGCTACCCAGGGAAGGGATTGGTGGGAGTAGTCTCTTAGAAGCAAAGCCTGGCAAAGCCTAAAGATTCAGGAAGATGCCTCACCAGAAAATTTCCAGTTTGGTTCCATGACATTGAATTCAGCATAATCCCATCAAAAGCTTTTGTCTTTTTCTACTGATTCTGCAACAAGGAATTTCAGTTAATCAACTTCCTTTAAATGACTTCACATTATCTTGAGCTGGGACACTGGACTTGAGAGAACTTGATCTGATTCACCAAATGAGTCATGCTCTTTATACTAGCCTCACTGACTGCATAAGAATGTGACTAGTAGGCTGGGTGCAGTGGCTCGTGCCTGTAAACCCAGCAATTTGGGAGGCCAAGGTGGGTGGATCACCTGAGGTCAGGAGTTCGAGACCAACCTGACCAACATGGTGAAACCCTGTCTGTACGAAAAATACAAAATTAGCTGGGCATGGTGGCAGGCACCTGTAATCTCAGTTCCTCAGGAGGCTGAGGCAGGAGAATCGCTTGAACCCAGGAGGCGGAGGTTGCAGTGAGCCAAGATCACACCATTGCACTCCAGCCTGGGCAACAAGAGTGAAACTCCATCTAAAAAAAATAAATAAAATAAGAAAAAAAAAATGAATGTGACTAGTTCATTCATATGGGTTTAGCAATCTTTGAACTGTACTGTAGCTCCTTCAGAACTTTCATAATTGATTTATATTTAGTTAATGACAAGGTAAAAAGATTTGACTGAGTGAGCTTAGGATTGCTCTAGTATAAGTTCACCAAGTTGGCCAAGCTTTAATTTAGTTCCTCCCTCTTTATAGAATCTCGCCCCATCTTTTTTGGGAAAGCAAGTTATGCTGCCAAAAGTCCACCTTTCACAGGTCCTAAAATCTCCTTCCTCAATGTATTTTTCTCAGGAGTTATGCTTGTTTCACTGTTTCTCTAATAATCAATAAGGTATGCCATAACTAACTGTAAAGATTCAGAAATTATGCATTGATGCCAGAGTCCTCAAATCACCTGACTTTTTTGATGGGTAAATCTGAGTTTACTGATTTTTTTTCTACCACATCCTGGTGGCAACCTTTATTCTTTCTTTCTTTCTTTTTTTTCCGGATTGCTTTCTATATTCCCGGTCTGGCTGCCTGGTTTATTCTGCACTGAGCAGATGGGTCTCTTACCCTTACTCCCATAGAAGCCAACATTTTGAACAAAGGCAGATTTACCTAGAGGCTAAATCTTTTAAGTGGCTTCTCACCTAAAAGACCCTTGAGAGAGATGGGAGTTGTCAGGTGTTCTATGTGAAGAAGGAACACTTGGCTATAATCAGAAAACCTTTCCATGAAATCATTTCTGTTAACATGTCCAAAGAGATCTGAAGAGAAAGATCTGAATCTCCAAGGACCCTGTCATTTGTTGTGATTGCTTTCCTTATCTCAATAAATATTCAAGTTTGTACCTAATTTTGTATTCTTGTTCTTAAAGAAGCCCCGTACCCCTGCAACCCGCCCCCAGTAACAGCTTAAACTTCAGTCCCTACAAAACTGGATCCACCTCTGCTTTTGGCATTGCCTGTTATTTTTGCATCCTGCAGTGTTCCTGCTTGTTAACTCACCAGGAGGTGGCAGGAGGATGCCTTTCTTCATGTTACTCGGTTCACACCTGGGGATACATTAGCTGTGCAAGAACTTGCTCTGGTTGTCCACACTTGACCTCCAATCAGTTTTGTTTGGGACATGCTGCTGCATCTCCTGCTCCTTAATTGGCTCAGTGGTGACTTATATTATCTTGTTGCTCATTTTTTTTTTTTTTTTTTGCAGTTTCTTATCTCAGCTTCCTGGACTGTTTAGGTTTTATCTCTTCCCCATAGAACACTCTTTGATGAGAAATGTTACAAGGGAACCCTGGTGACTCTTTTAATCTGTGAAACAATTAATTGGAATTCTGTGGAGCATTCCCTATAGAAACACCTTTCTATGTAAGAAGCTAGTTAGTTCTCCTGCCTCAACAATGTTCATATCTTTGGAATACAATCTACTTAAATATGCAGAGGCAGTCCCCCTTCTGTGCTCTAGTTCATCTGGAAAACTGAATCCTCTTACTGAATGTTCTATAAAAAGACAAAAGCTGTCAAATTAGGTTAAAAAAACAAAATCGAGCAATGTGCTGTTGACAAGAAACTTGCTTCAGACTAAGTGATAAAGAACAGTTGAAAATAAAGGGAAAAGCCAAGAGACACTAGGCAAATGCAAACATTAAGAAAGGCAAAAATGTCAATATTTCTTCAGAAAATCTTAGCTATAAGCTCAAAAGTAAAAAGCAGTGTAAAGAGGGACTTTTAAAATCATAGTAGGCACAATTCATGTTGATATAGCAATCATAACAATATACATTTAGCAAAACAGCTAAATATTTATAAAGAAATTATATTGAAAATGTAAGGAGTGATGAGAAACATCAAACGATAGTATATATTTAATAAAATTATTTCAAGATTAAAGGTCAAAATCAGGCAAGGAAGGTGAGAAAGTGAATAACAGTAGATAAATTATAATATGCAAATGTATACATGAATATATTCATGTATGTGTATATATAAAATCTCTGCACACGCACGTACATATATATAATCAATCTTTCTTATGTCCATGTATAAAAAATATCATACATTTGCTTGAAAGCTTTACATTTAAAAAGTAGAGATTACATAGGTCATATTCTGTAATGTCAAATTTTAAAAAGCAACAATATAAATATATGACCAAAAAGATTAAAATCCTTCAATATTTATAGATTAGAGGCAATCACTATATATATATATATATATATATATATATATATATATGCCAATATAGTAAAAGCTACACTAAAAGGAAATGTATAGCTTTAAATACTAAAGAATAAAGACAAAAATATAGAGAAAAGCATACCTCATTTTAAGAAGTTAATAAAAAGAACAATAAAATAAACCAAAAGAAACCTACAAGAAAGAATAGATTAGGGTAAACATGAAGTAAATGGAAAGGAAAACAACATAGTAGAAATAACAAACTATAAAAGTGAAAAGTAGAAATAACAAACTATAAAAGTCTGAAAAGACCAATAAAACAGAAAAGTTGCCTTGAGCCTGATTAAGAAGAGAGGTCACTTTGGGAGGCCAAGGCGGGCAGATCATGAGGTCAAGAGATGGAGACCATCCTGGGCAACATGGTGAAACCCCGTCTCTACTAAATATACAAAAATTAGCCGGCATGGTGGCACATGCCTATAGTCCCAGCTACTCAGGAGGCTGAGGCAGGAGAATCACTTGAACCCAGGAGATGGAGATTGCAGTGAGCCGAGATCACACCACAGCACTCCAGCCTGGCAACAGAGTGAGACTGAGACTCCGTCTCAAAAAAAAAAAAAAAAAAAGAGAGAGGTCAAAAACTTACAAAATTAGGATTGAGAAAAGAAACAAAACTATAGATCTAAAAAATATTTAATTTAATAATAAGAAACATCACATGTAATATACTGAAAACAAATTTGAAAATGTAGGAAAATTTAGTAAAATTGACCTATGAAGAAATGGAAAAAATATTATAGATATGTCAAAAATTATGAGATAGGAGATTTTTTAGATCTAGCCTTTAAAAAGCACATACTCAGTAAGCTCACAGAAAATACAGAACAGGTAATTATGTAATATTTAAATTATCCCTGGCCAAAGAGACTAAAAGACTCTTACTTTATTCATGAAGCCAGCATAATTCTGATGCTAGAACCTTGTAAACCAACCAACAAAAAAAGTAAAACATAGCTACTTTTTAGGAAAGATACAAAATTGCCTAATAAAATATTAGAAAGTGAACCTAGTAATATTCCAAAATAAAAATAGGTAGGGCTTATACAAGTGTTATTTAGTATCATAATATGAATCAAGTAAATAGATTAAATAACAAAAAGCTTATAATTTATAATTGTATCTATACATGGATGAATATCATTTTATAAAATTTAGCAGCACTCCCAATAAAAACTCTTAAGTAAAATAGTTCTCTAAGAAAGTTATTTAAACACAATATAGATCATTTTCACCACAAATGTAGTAAGCTACAAAATTATATTTAACAAATTTGGAGCTAGTCAAAGGTACATTCCAGAATTTCATTGCATTCTTTCCTTAGTAGTGTTGGTTTACTACGAAGGTTTACACAGCAGGAATAAGAGACCACAAATGTGACTTTTTCTCATCTCTGTTAAAGATTATATTTTCTCACTAAAATTCTGAAATCAGTACTTTTACGTAGATTAAACTTCTTTCTCTTTGAGCTTTGAAGTGTGATGTGAAAAATCACTGAAATTCATTTATTCATAGTTTTGTTGTTGTTTGTTTGTTTTGAGGAAAGAGATGGGAGAATATCCTGGGCTGTCCTTATTTCCCACTGGCTATTCTTAGCAGTTGCTTTACCCATTTCTGTTGGGCCTTCAGAGACCAACTGATTTAGAGGCAGAATTTCCTATCATTCAATTCTGTAATTGTTATATCAGACCAACACTGTGGCCCTGTGGGCAATTCAGTGAATAAATGAAAAGGGCCTAATGGTTGGGTGACACTGTGCCGTGCATAACACAGTCTTGCAGAAATAAGTCTGGTACAGGCAACATTCCATGAGGAATCTGCTTACTTCTCTTGCCAAAAAATTTTTGCCCACAGTAGTTAAGTGTGATCCTTCTAGTTCATTTGCCTTTGACAAGACTCTATGGAAGAATTTTTAGGATATCACACTTTGTGGAGAATGTGAATCGCTACATAATTATGATGTACTTAATAAGCATAATTAAAAACAGCTTGCAAAAGACATTCTCACATGAAATACAAATTGTCTTTAAGTCGGCAGTGAGGAGTTGGAGTTAGGAGTGGCTTTCAGAATGCTGGTCTTAGCTTTGTCCTGAATTCTCTGCTTGTGTTTCCTCAATTCTGATGATCCTCTCTTGGGCCCCTCATTGTTATTGCTGCACACCAGTCTGTGCCACAGGGTCAATTTTGTGTCAGTTCCCTTATAACAAAGGTCCCCAGTGGGGTGGTGTGGCTCACACCTGTAATCCCAGCACTTTGGGAGGCCGAGGCCAGCAGATCACTTGGGGCCAGGTGTTTGAGGCCAGCCTGAGTAACATGGTAAAATCCTGTCTCTACTAAAAAGTTAGCCAGGCATGGTGGTACACAACCTGTAAGCCCAGCTACTTGGGAGGCTGAGGCATGAGAATTGCTTGAACCTGGGAGGCTGAGGTTTCAGTGACCCAAGATCATGCCACTGCACTCCAATCTGGGTGACAGAGTGAGACCCTGTCTCAAAACAAAAAAAAAGGTCCCCAACCCCTGGACCATGGACCAGTCCCATGGCCTGTTAGGAAGTGGGCCACACAGCAGGAGGTGAGGTGAGTGGTGGCAGGCAGGTGAGTGAGCAGTACCGCCTGAGCTCCGCCTCCTGTGAGATCAGGGGCAGCATTAGATTCTCATAGGATCAGGAGCCCTGTTGTGAACTGTGCATGCAAGGGATCTAGGTTGTACACTCCTTATGAGAATCTAATGCCTGTCTCCCGTCATCCCCAGATGGGACTGTCTAGTTGCAGGAAAACAAACTCAGGGGTCCCACTGAATCTACATTATTGTGAGTTGTATCATTATTTTATTATATATTACAATATAATAATAATAGAAATAAAGTGCACAATAAATGTTATGTGCTTGAATCATCCCAAAACCATCCCATCCCACTCCCAGTCCCTGGTCCCTGGTGCCCAAAAGGTTGGGAACCGTGCTTCTTACGATATTTAAAAATTTTTAGGTCTTGACAATCTGTAATTACTATGATAATATTTCTTTTCTTTTTTCTTTCTTTTTTTTTTTTTTTTTTTTTGAGACAGAGTCTCACTCTGTCATCCAGGCTGGAGTACAGTGGTATCATCATGCCTCGCTGCAGCCTCCACCTCCCGGGTTCAAGAGATTCTCATGCCACAGCCACCTGAGTAGTTGGAAATGCAGGCATGTGCCACCATCCCTGGCTAATTTTTATATTAGAGACAGGGTTTCACCATGTTGGCCAGGCTGGTCTCAAACTCCTGGTCTCAAGTGATCCTCCAGCTTTAGACTCCCAAAGTACAGGCCTGAGCCACTGTGCCCTGCCAAGATCTTACAGATAGTATCTCTAAGGAGTATCTCCTCACCATCAAGTAGGTGCTGTAAATGCCACTTTCTAATTAGTATTTACTCCAATAATTTCTCTTTCTTACCTGTTTCCTTAGTACTCTGGCTAGCTGTAGCACCTCTGTTTTCTACTTTCTTCATTTTGCTTCTCTATGTGTACTGGGATGATTGCACATTGCCTGGTTGCATTCAGAAATTAATTGAAAATAAATGTCTCCTGAGGCAGAAACATGGACATCATATATGATTTTGTTAGGAAAAACAATTTTGACCTAGCTTCTGAGGATACAGCCTGTTAAACAGCCAGGTGCTCGGGCCCTTGTGATCCTTCTGGCCATTTCTCAGGTTACAAAGCTGTCTCTGGTGTTCTACTTTTGGTGAGGCCTAATGACAAGGAGCACTGCATGCTCTCACTAAAGATAAACGCGTAAGTGTAGTTAGAATTGCCTCTTTCGGCACCTGTTGACCTGGAAGATGGAGTAGAGGGGATATTTCTATCAGTGGCTATCCCTCTGTAACCTTGCCCATGTGATAGATTTGGGGGCACACAAAAGAAAGCAAAGGATGGAAGGAATTTGTCATGGCATCTCATGGGTTCCCCAAAGTGCACCTCATTCTTTTCTAGGAGAGGAGAGGTTGCAATTTCTACCACAGGACAGCACTCTAACAAAATATTCCCAATAGGAAGGATAGTTTTATGAAACCAACCATACGATGTGCCCAGTTGGCTCACTCTATACTATATCTCAAAAAAGCACAAAATCAAAATGTAAACCAACAGCTATATCACCATGGAAACACTGTTTACAGTAGTAATTATAAAGGCTTCTATAGTTTAAATCAATAATCTGGTAACTATCTGGAGTGTAGTCCATAAAAGCTGACTAAAATCACTTCCTTGAAGATATTTCCAGGACATCCTCTGGTTACAGTCCTATTAGAGGATTAAATTCACCATAAAAAGAGCCAATGCAAAGTGATAATTCAAGGCTGCAGACAAGCAGGGGGAATTCCAACTTCTTCTCACCAGCCCACTGTCCATGGGATTTAATCCTCCAAAGATACAAGTTGGTACTTGCATTAGGGGAGTTGAGAGGCCTGTGACAAGCCACCTAACAATCATACCATGGTGTTGGACACTGCCATTGTGCCCTAACCTGGGCCACTGTGGGATACTGTCAGCCCTAACCTTCCCCACATCCATACTCAGACCTGCACAGCAGGTGAACACTGCTGGCGGAATGTGAGCCTCTTCTCACGAATGTGACCTGGAACTGCTACTGATAGAGTCTGGCAACAATAGAATAAAAAAAGAAATAAAAAAGGAAGGACAAGTAGACCCTGGGGCACCAGGGATGGGTGGCAAGTGGCCCATAATCACACATGGAAAGAGCATGTGTGAGCTGACACTCCAAGCCCTCCCTTTCCACATGCTCCATTTTCCCATTGGACTTTAATTACAAAACACAAATTCAAAGATGAAGTTATTAAAAATTTCAAGATGGCAACCACAGAGCATTGGACCCCAAGCATGAGGCCCTTCTTAGCATGAAGCCCTGTGTAACTGCACAGGTGCAACATCCTGACTGTAAAACACAGAAGGTTCTCATGATATGGGAGGCATTGCTGTGTAGATAAAACAGCCTTTTACTGGAATTAGGAGGCTTTTGGTCTACTATTGACTTGACCACTGACCATGATGTCACTATACCTCTTTGAACTTCAGTTTCCTCATCTATAAAATGAAAAAATTTTCAAGTTCTTTTGCACTAAGTTTGAATCTCTAGGAGTGGGGCTTCAGAATCTGTGAAAACCTACTTAGGTCTCTAGCTTTTTGCTACCCAAAGTGTCATACATAAACAAGCAGCATGAATATCACGTGGGAGTGTCTTAAAAATGCGGAATCCCAGGCCCCACGCGCAGGCCTACTGAGCCAGCATCTTCATTTTAACAAGATTGCCAGGTGATTTGAATGCACACTAAAGTTTGAGAATCACTGCTGTAGATGACTTTGATGATCCGTGAAACCATCAATATAGAATATTTCTATAAACGTTTTAATCTTGTGCAATAGCTAAATGCCAATGGCAGTTAATGGTTAATGCCTACATTGGATTATTAGGTAAATTCGTCAAGGAGGGTCTTTGCTTTAAGTTATGTTTTGAGCCCTAAATGTGTATTTGTTTAAACTGTTTCATTCTCTTTTCATTACAGTCCTTAGTGACTGCTTCCTCATGAAAATTGATTTAATTTTTCACTGTAATTAGGAAAAACAGGAAGGGATCTTACATCAATATTTTCACCAACTGTTCATGGCAATTTAAACATAGCTCTTCCCTTAAACTTAAAATAGATATATTTATTAAAACAATGATTATTATAAAGACTTTATGACAATTTTTTTCCAACTACAGAGTTTAGTTTCTCTTCAGTCTTTAGCTTTGGTACCTATATTATGTTCCTAAATGCAAAGTGATTGCATTAGATAAAATTTATTCTGAAGTTTTAGCTGATATCACCTTAGGTAAATATGGTAATTTCTCAAAACTATAGATGAGTTTCAGACCTATTTTCCAAATTATGAATTTTTTACTCAGAACCAGTTCAGACTGCCAATGAAGACTGACTGTAGAAACCTCTGTGCTCTATATGTTCTTCCTGGCAGAGCCTACATTATGTATGTTTTCAGTATAAAAAATATCAGGAATCCATTTAAGTTTTTCCCTTCATCCAATTTATGTCAATTTACATTAAAGAAAAAAAAAACATTTTGTAAGTAACATTGGCAAAAGGCATGAGATGATGTGTTTTCAGACAGTGAGGTCTTGGAGTCTGAATTCTTAATTATTCAATTTTGACACTGATTGGAGCCTGAGATATTTCTCAAGATGAATATAAGAGGAAGGACACAGAACAATTTGGTAAGTAGCATCACTGCATGAATTATTGGCTGATTCCAGGGAGTATGTTGGCAAGCTGGCTTACAATGGAATGGGCTTTGTTCTTTTTCCCTGGCTCATTTCTAAGCATCTGCTGGGAGGATTTTTAGATTTGCCATGTAGCAAACACAGCTCAGAATTCTTCAAAAATTTTAGAGTAAATTTTGTGAATTCAACTGACACTTCTTTTTTTTAACTGCTCTCTCTCTCTCTCTTTACCTCAAATGTAGCTTACCATGTGTAGAGCAGAAGTAGGGAGAGGATCAAAAAGTCCCTCAACTACCGCCTTCCATGTGAACCAAGAGGACATTGATGTGAGTAGCTAATTATCTATTAATGCACAAGTATGGCAGCTGTTCCTTTCCAGGGACTCCGTCCCTCCCCGAGCCTTCTCTGGCTGTGCCCACACTTCATGGAATGAGGAGCCCACAAGGCCAAGTGGACATGATCCATACAGAGTCCAAATCCCCAGGTCCTCTTATAGATCAGACTTTGGATACCTAGGAACCTAAAATTCCCACCCAGACTATCCCAAGCCCACCTCCAGAGTCTGTGTTTACCTGTGTTTTAAGGTAGACTATGATGTTGGTGTATGTATCTCTAGGCAACAGGGAGGCCAGGGGGCCCTGGGGAGAGGTTGGATGGAGTATGGCTTTGTGGACCACAGTGTCTACCCAGCTATGCATAAGACTCCTCAGGGTGCAAGACAGAGGCAGGGGTGAGAAGAGAATCTATGTGTGTGCCCTAAGATGCACAGATGTTAAAACTAGACCGATGATGAGACATGTCAGCAGGCAGGCATGTAGTCTCATAAGCCAGGCTAAGTAGTGGCTTGTAGCAGAGGGAAAATAGAAGCATGAAACTGGTGTTTGAATCACAGTTCTGCAACTTATTAGCTGAATGATGTCTTTCCTGTTCTTTAATCTTTCTGAATCTAGTTTACTCATTTCTAAAATGAGAATAATATCTACCACAACAGTTTTGTTTTAAGTAAGGATTAAATCAGTAAGAAGTTTTTATATACATATATACAGGAGATTATGTGATGGGATCTATCTATCTATCTATCTATCTATCATCTATCTATTGAGATAAGGAGAGGCAGAGAGAGAAGAGATCCTCAAGAATAAGCTGTAGGTAATATTAGGCATATTTTTTGAGTCAGCAGCTAATCTTTTCCTTTAAGAATTTTCTTGTGGAGTTTATCCACCCAGAGGCACAAAGATTTTCCTGAAAAAATGCATATTAGTTATTTGTTAAATTTCAGCTTTAGAACATTAAGTAATCCTCCCATTTTAGTAACCCACAAAAATCTATATTTCCTGTCTCAAGCATGAGAACATTCTGCTATCAATTTTCCATCCCAGTTAACCTGCTTATCACCGCTTCATTTACAGAGATATTCCAAATAAAATTTACACAGATTGTCACACTCTTCTCTTAACTTCAATCATAACATTTTTTCTTCAGTACAAATAGAAAATCATAGCTTGCTGATAAATATATTGAACCATCAACTAGCAATTGTACTAGACACTTTCCATCACATGGTAGAGCATCACTTTTAATTATTCACATTATTTACCTGTGTTCACCCCTCTCCTTTCTTTATTACACAAAGTACCTATATTTTCAGAAGCTTGATTTGAAATACAGCGTGTCTTTGAATAACATTGTTTCGTTCAACATTGTTTTGTTACAATGTTGATGAAAAAATCAATTTTCTTCTTGGGCCACTGTCTATGTGGAGTTTGCACATTCACCTCATGTCTGCCTGGGTTTTCTCTGGGTACTCAAGATTCAAGGTTTTTCCACATCCCAAAGATGTGCATGTTGGGTTAATCATCGTGTCTAAGTTGTCCTCATATGAGTGAGTATGTGTATGTGAGTATGGGTATGTGAGTAAGCATGCCCTGCAATGGAATGGTATCCTGTACAGGGTTGGTTCCTGCCTTGTACCTGAGCTGCAGGCATAGGCTCAGGACACTTCCCTGAACTGAAATAATTGGGTAAATAATTATCTTACTTATTTTTACCAATATGTATGTATAACTCATGTTTATATCAACATTTAATATTAAAAGTGTTTTGGTCTTAGAAGTTTGGTGATGCTTTCATGACCAGAAATATGCTGTAGGAACTTAACCTTTATTTATATAAATTAGCCTATGGTAAATTTGGTCTGCTTCTACGTAGTTTTGCTTAAAGTTAGTTTCCAAGAACCTCTCAACAATGTTAAGTGATGACATACTGTGCTGTTTATAGCCCACCTATTTCTATTTCACACACTTAAAAAACTGAACAAATTCTATTCCCCCTTCCTCCTCAGTTACCCATTTGAATCATTGGTCTTAAGATGCATGCGTTCCTCCATCCCTCCGTTACTTCACAGACTTCATTCTGTTCACCCTTTGGATTAGCTGTGGTGGATTGTGCTGTGTCAACTTAGTAACCCTGAGAACTGCATTTTCAGAGCCTCTCAGTGCATGATTTGGTCAGAATTAGCCCAATGAGGAACCTGTCTGAGATTTAGAAGGTGGAATGGATGTGTTTGAAAGATGATCTTTCATGATTTATTCGTGTTACTACCGATACAGATATTTATACTTTATATACTTTATTGCAAGTACTTTACAGATATTTTACTACTTATACAGATACTTAACATATGATTGTTTTTAAGACTTAACAAAGATATAAATGATACTAGCATAAGATCTTTACTATACAGAATACTCAAAAAACATGGCTTTTCATTTTTTTCTATGAAACCTCGTGGTTTACATAACCATAGTGGACTTAATAGGGTAGGTAATTATACCTGCAATGTCTACATTTTTTGTAAAAGGAAATCAGGGTTCTTGGTGTATATTAGTTTTCTAGTCATGTGTTTGACAAGTAGCACTTCCTGGTTATTGTACAGTCTCTACTAGCCAGGATTATATAGAAATGGGTAGCATATTAAGGATCCACTTAGGGAAATAGTGGAAAAGATTGACATAGAACATACACTGAAGTCAGTTATAGAATTTCCTCTATAAGAAGAAATGGTGATCCAGTGAAAGGCAGATAATAGAGATTTTGGTATTGATTTATGCCTCTACGATGTGGGTTAAAATTATAAAGATTATCATGAATACTTAAACAATTATAGTTGAGAGAGTTACCAACTATTTTAATGCTAATTAAAGTGAAATCAAAAAACTTCATAGGAAATTAAATTTACTGAATATCAATGTGGTCTTTGCCTGACCCGAGTCCCACTGTTTACATAGATGAAAATGAGGACACTTCCATATTAAAGTCTGGTTATTAAAACAACCTGTTAAAATAATAAAACTTTCCACATTAATAAATACCATCATTTTATGCTATAAACATACAATTGTCTGTAGAGACCTCTGATAGCAAATTAATTAAATCTCTTTGTCATTATGGTGTCAGCTAATTTGGAAGCTCATTATTTATTTGGCACTAATTTAGCCTGGCAAATTAATTAGAAAGGGCATGGGAAAATAAATGATTCAACATGAAAGTCCAAATCAAGACAAAGAGGGAAAATGAAGGAACTTACTTAGAGGAGAACTTATTTAGGGCTTCCTGAAGACAGACAACACAGTGCAGAGAAGCTGCCCAGAAGCTGACTTAGAAAACCAGAATTAGTAATTGTCTTTAAGAAAAACAATTCCTCCTGTGCAGGGTTGCCTACAGAGGGTCGCACCCCTCAGTGTGTCCACACAGCTCTTCCTGACTTCATCCTTCTATAATAATGCAGTCCTTGGACTCATGGTAAAATTGGTCACTGGTTGATAATCTCTACCCCCAGCCATGTTAGGGTATTGGAAATTTTGTTTCTGCAAGGATTTGAAAAGAAAGAACCTGTTTGTGGCTGGGGGGACGTTAATCTTCTAGGTACAAAAATATAAATGGTTCAGAGTAGCTGGTGGCTACCTAGATTTTCAGGTGATAAGTGACAAAAATAGTGTTTCAGGCAAAGACTTTTTCTGTTTTTGTCTAGGCTTCAGAGAAGTCCAGGAAAATGAACATAAAAAGTTTTTCAATTCATCCCTTTGGTCCATGTTCCTGATAGCAGTATCTGCCGAAAATACAGTATCTACTGAAATTTGGAAAGTTTTCTTTCTTTAAAATTTGCCAATTCTTATCTTGTTTATAGATCTTCATTAGAAAGGTAACTTAGACACTACTAATGTGCACTGTGATCATCTGGAAGTCTATTAATTAGTCTTATTCAATTAACAAGGACATGTTGAGGAGTTGCTATGTGTCAGTCATTGAGCTGCATGCTCCTCTTCCTACATGGAGAACCAAGTAGACGTGTTCATTTTCTTCAAGCAGCTTACAGTACAGTGGAGAAACACATTTAAATGCATGACTAAATATATAATTACAGATTTTGATAAATAATATAAAAGAATATGTAAGGGTATTATGAAACAGACTAACTTGGGTGACCTAATTTAGATTAGGAGTCAGAGAATCTTTCTCTCAGGAAATTGCATTTAAGCTGAGACTTGAAGAGCAAATGGGAATTATTCCAGATGTAGAAGATCAAGAGGAGACTTCTAAAAGAGAAAAGGATTGTGTGCTTCATGGCTTTGAGGCAGTTTTGAGGACATTTTTCAAAGGCCAAGGAATGAGATGAGAAATAGAATTTGCACCACGGGAAGTTTGGATCAAGGAAAGTATGCAAGCCATGTTAACATTTTGTATTTATCTTCAGAGGTACAGGAAAGGATCAATGCTTTTAAAGAGGAGAATAACATGGTCAAATTCACTGGCCTTAAAGGTCACACTGATGCTGGGTGGAGAAAAATAGAGAAAACACAAATGGAAGTTTTCAATTCAATAACCACCTCTGACCACAGGCAATCGTGACCAGCTGCTTTACCCAGGAGCATTTTTGGTGTCAATACTTTACTTTTCCTCATAGTTTAATATTTTTTTTTTCTTCTTCTTTATTTGAGGTAGATGGTGCTTTGATACATAATCTCTAAGAACTATTCAACTGTTAAAATCTACACTTAGGTCTTAGCAGTTCCATAAGTACATCCATTTTGATGTGAAGAGGTATTTCAGGGAAGAAGTGTTTGTCTTTTCCCTCTGGGGGCACAAAGACCTATTGACAGACAATATGTTGTAAAATCCAACTTCAGAGGAATAAAAGTGTCAAACTATCTGTGAACAACTATATGTTAAATGAATTAATGATGAATCATTTTTACATTCTGCCTGCCAGAGGCTTACTTTTGGGTAATCTAAATCTGTTATGTACAAAAATACTTGCCTCTCTTAA